TGTAATACTTTTCATCAGTTAAAGATTTATTAGTTAAATCTTATGGATTACTTGGCATTAATTAGAAACTGTTTTAAAATATCTTTTTTCTTCTTAAATTTTTTTTTTCACATTACTTTGTTAGAACTTCAATAAAAAAAATTTTTTTTCTAAAAAGAAAATATCTCTTTTTCTTTACGTATGAATGTATCTACATATAGAGTATGCAGTGACTCCTACATCAGCACAACTTGCTCATTTCCAATTAACTCTAATTGATTCCATAGGCGATCATATATCCTGCAATTGAAGTGCACGCAGATGGTTTCAGAAAATAGAGAGTGTGATCCTTCATATATTGCTATCAGATCTAGAAAAGATTGTTTTATTTTATGTTGCAGATTTTAAAATAATTTAAGATATTGTTAAAAACATTTCATATTTTTAAATTTTGCTTAATTATATCTTTAACTATAAATACTAATATATAAATAATTGTGCAATTTAAATAAATTTTTTGGATAAAATATCTAAAACACTAAAATATTAAATAAGAACGAAAATTAAGATGCAATTTTGAGATAACAAGTAAAACATTCCCAAATTTTATTTATATAAAAATACATAGTTTATACACACACACATATAATATATCTGTGCATAAACTATGTTTTTTATATAAATACATATGTATATATACATATATGTATGTATGTATGTATGTATGTATGTATGTATGTATGTATGTATGTATGTATGTATGTATGTATGTATGTATGTATGTATGTATGTATATATATATATATATATATATATATATGTATATATATATATATATATATATATATATATATATATATATATATATATATATATATATATATATATATATATATATATATATAAAAGGTTAGCAAACTAAGCTAAGATCTTAGGATGATGTTTACATTTGATAAGTTCTACAAAAATAAATTTACTATAAAACCATCATTTAAAGTAATAAATCTCAAAATCACTTTAGTAAATAAATAAATACTTCATAGCATTTACTCTACAAGAGATATGCATACTAAAATACGAAGAACATTCAAGCCTTACACCTACAACTTAAATTTATTATATTATATACTAAATGACTAACTAAAAATGCATCATATTTTTATTTCTGGAAGTTATTCTGATACACCGAAGCACTTGAATTTTGAGAAAAATATTAAATATAAATCCAGAATGATTTAACAACAATAGACAAAACAAACAATACCTTTAAAGCAATAACTTAAGGCCTACACATTTTATTTATTTGTTGGAAATTACCATTTTTATTTTTAATCCATACTATAGAGCATCACTTGATTCTATAGTATCAACAATAACTTACTATATATAGCCTTTTTACAATGTTGGACTGCTAGAAATAAGGTTTACGTTCAAAATTTTTTAGTGAACTGATCAAACCTTTTCTAAAAACAATTAGAAATAATGAAGAAAAATGATAGCAGATGTATTTATTTTATATAGAATTTTACTATTCTGCATGGCTATCCTGCATGAATATTATAAACAAATAAATTTAATAATGTATTCTAATCATAGTTGTAATTTCTGGGGTAATCTTTATAAATTTGTTTTTAAATTTTTTTTTTAATATTTACTTGTAGATAACTTAAATATCTTATTTATAAAGATATTGTAATTAAATATTAATAAAAATGTAAATTGTTATAAAAAGTTTTTAAAACGATGAGAAATTCATCGGTCTTATCATAAAAAAGCACTAGTGCTTAAGTAGTGCTATTTTAACATTTATTTATTTTAAGCTACATATTTTAACATGTGAACTTTTTCCTTGGCTTTGAAATGATCCATTTTATATATCACATGTTATGTGAGTGCACTTCCATAAATTTAAAATCACTCAAAATTAAACTAAGAATGCACAAATCTTGTGTCAAGAACCCTACTAAACATAGTCTCGTTCTAAGCAATCCAGGGACCAAATAAAGCTCATGTAATTTTAAAATTAAAAAGAACAGAACAGTTTATATTAAAATGCCTGGTGAACTTTCTTCGCCCTGCAGGTGAAACTTCAGAACTTATTTTTGGAGATAATTGCGTACATAAAAATAACTTTTAAAAATCTTCAACATGTATTTTCTATATAAATACAACGGAAATTTCTGTATTTGAAAATTTAGCTACAAATACGGAAAATTTCCGTACATAATCGATGGATACATCCATATATGGACATACGGATCCTTTCCGTTGAAATAACGGAATAAATTTCCGTTTTTTTAACGGAAATTTTTAACAGTGTACTTTTTATAAATTCATGTTTAAATAAATGGTAAAAATAAAGATCACAAAAAATATCAGAAGTATATTATTAAATCATCGATTGTAAAAATGAGTTCTTTAAGCTTTTGTTTAAAAGAAAAGTAGTTACTTTGATTAATAAAACAGAATTTAAAAGATTTGTTTGAAAAATGGGCTGCTTAATAAAATTTTTATTGCGTAAAATGTATTTATTTTTATCTTTTGATGAATACAAATTATGGAAAGAAATCGGGGATGAATTGGTTTTACATTTAAACATAAAACAAAGAATATTAAAAATATAAATCTCATATATATTAAAAACTTTCATTTTATATAAAAGAGGCTTGGCATGAGTATAACGGTCTTTAAAATATATAAGACGTGCTACATGCTTCTGCTGACAATAAAGAGGTTTAAGTTTGTTTTTATTTGCACTACCCCGAGCAATGTTTGCATAGTTTATGAGGCAATGAATAAATGAGTGATATAATTGTAGTAAAGTTTGTTTATTTAAGACATTTCTCGCTTTGTACAATATTCCTATACTTTTTTAAATTTTACTTGATAAGTTTTTAATGTGATTTTTCCATGTAAGATTTTCATCTAAATAAACACCTAGAAAAATAGTTACTGTTACTTTTTTAATTTGTATATTGTCAATAACAAGTGGAGGCATGTTAATTGGCAGTTTATGTTTTTTGGTAAGAGGATGGAAAAGAATCCATTTAGTTTTATCAATGTTAAGGTATAGTTTGTTTGTCTTAAACCAGTCAGATATTTTGATTAACTTGATGTTCACGTTATGAAATAAAGAAGGAATGCTTTTGTGAGACATAAATAAATTAGTGTCATCAGCAAACATAATTGTTATTAATTTCGAGGCTTTGTATAGATCATTATTATAAATAAGGAAGAGAAGAGGTCCTAATATGGATCCTTGAGGAACTCCACATGTAATATTTAACAAATTTGATGAAAATGATTTATCAGCATAAACAAATTGTTTACGATTAGTTAAATAACTTTTCAACAATATTAAATCATTGCCTATTATACCATAATATTCTAATTTTTTAATAAGAATTTTATGATCAATTGTATCAAACGCTTTCGCTAAATCAATAAATATTCCCAATGTAAATTTAGAATTGTTAAATGAGTCTGATATACTTCTTGTAAGCTGAATAATTGCATGCTCTGTTGAATTATTTTTTTTGAATCCATATTGCATGTTATATAATAATTTGTTTGTTAAAAGGTGATTGTATATTCTGTTGTACAAAATTCTTTCTAAAATTTTAGAAAAAACAGAGAGGATGGAAGTTGGACGATAGTGTTTTACATTAGCTTTTTCTCCTTTTTTAAATATAGGAATAATTTTTGCTATTTTTAAATCATCAGGAAAAACTCCCTGATTAATAGAGCATTTAAATATTTGGAAAAGTATGTCTTTTAAAACGTCAAAGCTTATTATAATATTTCCGTTGACATCATTAGGACCAACTGCTTTATTTGACTTTAACAATTTAAAAGCACTTTCATATTCTTCAAAAGACAAATCAAAAGAATTTAGATACGAGTTTAGAGGGTCATATGTTGCTTTTATTAATTTTTTAGGGTTCGGAATTTTTTCGGCTAGGTTTGGTCTTACAGATACAAAATATTCATTAAATTCAGAAGCAATTGATTTTTGATCAAGAAGAAGATTATCATCTACTTTATTAACTGAGGGCAAAGATTGCGACATTTTTTTAGTGTTACCAGTAATTTCGTTTATTAGTTGCCAAGTGCGTTTTGAGTTTAATTTGTATTTTTCAAGTAAATTAGTGAAATGAGTGTGTTTCAGACGATTTGAAAAAGCTACATTTAAGAAAAGAAGATGTTCAAGACCGTGTATGTTGGAGAAAGGGCATTATGAGAAACGACCAACCTGTGCAAGCACGGAAACAAGTAAACTAAAACGATGATGATAAGGTTTCTATGAGAGGTCAGTACAAAGAGATAATCCGAGATGATGTAAATTAGAAGACATAGCAACAGCGTTGCTATTCATCAGTATAGGAATATCAATATCATTGCGATTTATAAGCGTTTAGAGTCACAGGGTCTGTATGTTTTGTGATTGTGATGTTATTGTTGTGATGTTTTGTGTTGATAGACAACTTGGCTTACCTTCTCGCTGGTGTCTAAAAGTTGGCCACGGGCACCACATGGAGCCTATATGGGCTACTTTATAAAAAAAAAAAACTTCCCTACATTTTGTATTATGAATATTATTTGCTTTTATATGGGTTAAAAACACAGTAGGGTACAAGTACTTAGCTAAATAATGTGAACAACGTGTTTTACCTATACTTAAAATAAGTTTGTTAGCTTACTTATTTTTGTATCAACATTTATTATTTTTGTTTATTATTAAATATTTTGGTCGACGATTTAAATGGGCTGTTCAGATATCTGAACAGTCCATTAATCTGAAAAATCTGGAATTACACTATATAGTGTATTTCCAGATTTCAGATAGTATATTAAGTGAAGATAATATTTTTATATTCCGCATACTGCTCAGTGAACATTATACGAAAAAAAAAGTAGTCAAAACAAAACAATGCTTTGTATTATATATTATATTATATATTTGTATTATATAATATTTGTATTATATAATATATTATATATTTCATATTCTTCATCATGTCCAAAGGTACTTCTCGGTGAAGCCTTGTGTTTTTTAAGGCTTTAGCACGTTTGGCTTGTTTATCATATCAGCCTTGTGACGCAAAGCCAAGCCCCTCACATTCGATCATTGATGTGCATTCCTCGTTACAGTTTCTGCAAACAAAATAATTTAGATTTGAATAGTAACTCATAAAAAAAGTAATATTAACAAATTTCAATAAAACAAATTATTACTTACAAATTTTCTGGAGTTATATTTACTTCGGTTCATATGTATTTAGTTTATATTACAGTTATTACAGTACTATTACGGCCAGTATCCTCCACAAGAGTGCAACCTCCTTGATCAAGTTAGTAACCAACCTGTTAAAGACAATAATGTTAATACTTGAAGAACAAAATTAACGAGTTCAAATGGTTTCTTAAGTTATAAAAAAGGAACACATAATAAACTGTAGAAACTAGTTTCTACAGTTTATTATGTATTCATTTTTTAGAACTTTAGAAACCATTCCAACTTGTTAATTTTTGTTCCTTAAGTATTCCTCATCGTCACTTCCCAGATCCCTCATCGTCACTTCTCAGATCCCTCATCGTCACTTCCCAGAACACAGAAGAAACTATATATATAGTTTCTTCTGTGTTCTGGGAAGTGACGATGAGGGATCTTGATCCCTTTAAAACACAGGTATGTTGAATGTTATTAAGCATCTATTATATAATGCATTATATAATATAATATATTATATAATTTAAGTTAATTTTAAGTATCTATACCTAATTCCAAGTAAAAACATATATATATATATATATATATATATATATATATATATATATATATATATATATATATATATATATATATATATATATATATATATATATATATATATATATATATATATATATATATATACTTTTGGTGAGCGAATTCTCCGTTTTTCTGAAAACCTTTATTTTTTTCTTGGTCTTTGGAAGTTGCTAAAGTATATAATGAATAAAGTTAACAATAAATTAAGTATACATAATATCTTTCGAGTAATCATAAATATGTTCAAATTCAAATACCTTATAACTTGTGACATAGATACACAGAAGTGGTAATTGCAAAGCTGCAAAACTGAGTATCTGCAAAAGATCTGATATTCCTGCATGAGAAATGTTGTAGGAAGAGCACCAATTACATAATTTGTCTTTGATGTCAAATTCGCTATCACTTAATTCACTAAAAGAATTTTCTTCTGTGTAAGAGGCATTTGCAGATTACTCATTTAATGGAAATTTAAACTCATTATCAGAATTGTTGTCAATGACATTTGATTCATTATTATTTCTGAAGCATAAGGCAAAGATAATTCAGAAGTTGGTAACGGTAATGCTTTGTTAACATATACTTCATTTTGGAAATTTTCTCTTGCTATCTTTGAAAACATTGAATCAACAGCATTTTTTACTTTTTGACGCTTTGTTCTTGAGGAATAACTCGTAATAAAGTCACCTGATAGATTTTTTTTAATACAGTTTTAAATGCTAAACATTAAAGTTAACTTATTTAATTTAAACAAGTTTAAACATTTTTCATAAAAAAAAATTTAATTATAAAGTTGAAATTAGAGATTAATATAAGAAGTTAAAAATTATTATAAAATTACAAAAATATGTTTAATAACCAAGTAAAGTTTTATAACGCAGTAAATATATTTAGCTTTTGCAAGTGCAATAAAGTTGTTGCAGTAATCAATGTTATACAAAGATATCATTTTTGAGTTTTTTTTTCTATTAACACACTTGACGGAATATTCCGTAATCTAAACAAACGTCAAATTAGTTAAATGGGCTGGCCCAAATGTGACCCATCTGGAGCCCGCGTCTTGTAACCCATGCCCATATGCTCAGGTTAAAAACCACGTAGGGGCCCATATGGACATGTTGGTTGGGTATACCTGCCTATTGCTGTTGTAAATACTCCAAATTTCAGGACATTCATTTGCTTTTAGTATTTTTCAATTAAAAAATTCAGTTTAAACTTTATTAAAGAATCTTCTGTTTGTTAAATAGGTCATTCTGAATATTTCCAATAGATTTTAATGCCCTTACGCAGTAATTTACTGACCGGTCTGTTAATTATAATATAGTTTTAAAGTGATTACTTTGTGATTAAGTGAGTACTTCTTGGATTTCATGAATCCTTTATGCATATTTGCATGCTATAGTAATATAGTCCTTTATTCATATTTGCATGGTGTAGTTATTATATAACCCTAAATTTTATTTACCAAAACTAAGTAAATAAGTGAAAACCCTCAGTCTGTAAAATAGATGTTTCTGATCAATCTCATCAGATTAAAAAAAAAAAAAATTTAGTATCTTATTTTCTAATAGTTAGTGGATCGCCATGGAAAATAACAAATCAAATTCAGTATTGGTTCAAAGGTTATGCAAAAGTCAATATGACACCAAAACTAATTAAATAAGGTAAAACCCTCAGTCTATATATTCAGTCGAATAGATTACCCAGAATCAGGATTACCCAAAATGTCTGGTTAATCCCGACACATTAAAATTTTTTTTTTAGTATTTTATTTTTTTATAGTTGTGGAATCACTATGGAAAATTTCAAATCAAGTGTAATAACGGTTCAAAAGTTATTCAAGAGCCAAAAACTATTCAAGACACCAAAACTAAGTAAATAAGTAAAAACCCTTAATCTGTAAAATAGATAATTCTAAATAATCCCGACAGAATTAAAAATTTTTTTTTGTTATTTTGTTTTCTTATAGTTGTTGAATCACTATAAAAAATTCCAATTCAAGTGTAATAACGGTTCAAAAGTTATTCGAAAGTCAATATGATCTCTTTTTTGGTACCATAACACTGCAAATTTTCCATACTTAAGTTTGGTTTCCAATAGCTGTAGAAATGTTGTACAACAGTTGTGCGTTTTTGTTGTACAACAATTGTTGTTGAAATAGGTTTAATTCTTTCTCCGCGACCTTTGTTTTACAACATAAATTTTGCTGTACAACCGACGTTAAGTTGTGCAACTTACGCAAGAAAATGTTTCCACTATAAAGCATTATTGTTGTACAACTGTTGTACGACATTTCTACAATTATTGGAAACCAAGCTTTAGACCCTATATCTTTCATCAAAAAATCATCCATTTTTTCACTACAAAAAAGTTAATAGTTTTGGATTCGCTCAACTTCAAAGACTGAATTACCCCTCATTTTTTAAGTCAATTCAAGCTCTATATAATGATATTCATTTTATATGCTTATTTGATTTATAAAAAAATCGTCTGGAATGGCTACCTCAGGGCAACGCAATGTTTCTTCTTGTCTTTTATGCGAGAAGGAAAAACAAATTCTGCAAAGAAATTTTCTCCTTTGTGTACCATGATTAAAGCGACTTTCAAGATCTTCATTTTTAACAAATTTATTATTTTTAAAAATGAATTTTTCCAGCAAGCTCTAGTATAGTATCTCTAGATTGATGAGATCATTGGATTTAAACTTTTGTAAAACATCAAATCATCTTCCCTCAAATCATAAACCATGCTTAAAATAAAATTGAGAATTTCAAAATGAATTTTATTAGTTATTAAAAATTCTGATCTTGCAGAGAATAATTTTAATCAATCGAAATCGCAAAATTTGCAGCCGCATAATACATTACTTAGAACAGTTTTTATTAACGAATCATATAGCTTACTTTTAATGGAAACGGACCAATTAATTTATAAAGTTTTTTATATATCCTGCAAACCCTGCAAACAAATCAAATTGCTATGTTTCTTAAAAATTTGCAACATATCCTGCAAAGAATAGTTTTTCTTAGGGGCTTAAAAACTCTCATGTCGGAACACCTTTTGCAAAATGCTGACATTCAGACAGTAGTTAATTAAAAATTTTGAAAAAAATTTTTTACACCGTCACTTGCAGGACTTGATGAGGTTTAAATCATTGTTATATATTGACATATACCATTGTATATATTGACATATAATGCATATGTCAATATATACCACTGTTATATATTGACATATGCATTATATAACCAGAATGTGTTTTATTTAACTATTTTAATTTAAACTCCATTACAGTTGAACAGCTCGATATTAACAATACATAAAAAAAAATCTTTTTGTTTTTTAGAGATCTTCATTGAGTGGCTCCTCTCTCTGTATAAGCGTTATATACACATGATAAAACAAAGTAGATATATTTAATAATGGCTTTATTGTAAACATTAACTAGTCTATTTTTTGCTTTTTTAATTAAAGTTTTAAATTTTTGTTTTGTTCTATTGTGCAAACCATCTTTATTTTATTTTATTAATGCAGCAAAATATTAAAAAATCAAAACAACGGTAAAACGAAAATATCAACCTACTTTGGATTTATGTTAACACCTGCAATCCAATTTATATATGTTTTTACTTTACCAGAGGTTATTATACTAATCCCTAACAAAAAGAGTACGATAAATACTTTACATAAGAATCAACAAAGATTAAATGGTCTTTAATACTACTCTTATAAATATATGTAATAACCATTTATATATATTCTTTATTCAACTTGATGGATTTTCATTCACACGAACAACATTGTCTTTTGACTATACAAACGAAAAAAAGTGCAAGCGCACTGGGCCCCCGATATTTATTATTAAAATATTAAAAACACGTTTTTCTAATATGAAACTTATAAAAAAACTAGAAGCTAAATCTTAAGAATCTTTAGAAATTTTCGAAATTATTTTATTAAGAGTTAGAGGAATATTTCCTAATTTTGTACGCGCAATCGAATGAAATTCCATTCCAAAGAAAATAAAATTCCGCTTTAAATAACGTTATGTGCTTGCTGGGTACTTGATTGCTGTAAAATCTTTAAAGCTTTAAAAAAATTTAAAGTAAAGCTAAAAAAATATTTATAAACAACATACCTAAAAAAAATTATTAAAAATAAACTAAATCGTAAAAAGACCTCGTGTTCTTTCTCACTAAATAACGTGCGTAGTTTAGAAAGAGGTCTATTATACAAGTTTGTAATTGTAAAAAAAAATTAAAAAAGATTGTAAAAAAAATATGTATTTTAAAAAATTATTCTTATGGCTGAAAAAAAATATGTACCGTAAAAAAAAAAAAAAAAAAAAAAAAACTAAAACAAATATTATACAGAAAACAGAAAAATGACGTTGGAGATTCATTGACGTTAAACGTTCATTAAAAGGACATTGAGAAGGAAAAATAAATGCTTTTTGAAATTTTACAGAATCGTAACTAACTCGGTATTAAGCATAAACGGGAATAATGATATAGATATAGATTTCAAATTGAATTTTAGCTCGATTACAATAATATAAAATAATTTTTTTTTTTATATACATAGTTTTATTTGGTTTGCACTCATTTTTATTTATTCAAAAAAAAAAAAAAAAAATTTATTTTAAATAACAATTAAGTTGCAAAGTTTTATAAATATTTACGTAATTTGATTAATCCGTAATTAACCATTTCAACGGTACTGAAAAAAACTATTCAATTTATTTAAAATTTTAACAAGATTTTAATTTTGAAATTCAAGTTAGTTGTTGTTAAACATTGTAAGTTAAATTAACTAAGTTAATACCACTTAGTTAATTTAACTTACAATGGGTAAACATCTTTTTATTTTTACAGCTTTGTTCAAAATTTTAAAAATAACGTTGTTTTTATTTACATAAAAATCAACATAATCCGCATTTTTCTTGTTATAGAATATGTTTTAATATTCTCGACTTAAACTTTATGAAGTTTATGTTTAAACGTGTTAAAATAAAATGCTACTTTAAGGAATGGTTTGAAGCTAACTGGGTTTGGTATGAATTTTAAATTATGATATTATCTTTATTAAATCTTATATTGCTTTCTGCAAGTATCTGTCGTTCAGATGGACATCCACAGTGTCTTGACTTTCGCCCACCTTTTAAGCCCATAGAAATTAACTTCTGCCATGAATACTCGCAATTCGGTTGTTGTACTTCTTTAAAAGATAAATATATTGAACGCGAATATAATTACATAATAAAGAACTTTAATAGTAATGCTTCTTGTTTTGACTCAATCAAAGATATGCTATGTTTAGAATGTCATCCTTACGCTGCACACATTTTTGATATTGAGATCCAAAGTACTCGAGCCGAGAAGAACTTTTTGTTTCCTGGTTTATGCAAAAATTTTTGTTATGAGTTTTTTGAAAATTGCCGTTCACTTCTCTCACAGATTTATCGAAACGATGGTCTTACAAACTTTATAAACAGCTCTTTAAACCTCAGTTTTTGTGAGTGGGCTCAAATCTCCAATTCATACTGCTATCCGAGTATAAAGTTTCTTCCAAATAATACAGAGACGGAAACCTCAAATGATACAGTCTTTCTTTGCGTTGAAACATCAAGAGAAAATTACTTTAATCCTCTATTTGGCACACACTCAAATGATGGCTCTCAACGTTTATTTATAGTTGAACAGAGAGGAACAGTTTTCATTGTTGACCATAATGGAAAGAAATATGAAAAACCATTTCTAAATATAACAGATAAAGTGTTGAATTCGGGATTAGCTTGGGATGAACGAGGTCTTTTATGTTTAGTTTTTCATCCTTATTATAAAACCAACGGAAGGTTTTTTCTATATTACTCAGCAGAAAAAAAAAGTTACCCAATAAGCAGGTTTGTTTGTTAAACAGATTGTTTTTAAAATTATATTTTTATAAGTTTATACATAAATTATCTAAAAGATTCTTAAATTAAAAAAATAGTTAAAAATAAACTTAAGTTTTTATTTATAACCATTTATATTACTATTTATATTACTATGGAACGCTTTGTAATGTCTCCTGAGATTTTTGTGAATAGTTATTTTACTTATTTATTTTCTGAGAGTTATAATTTTAAACTTCAAACCGCAAAGGTTTTTTTCAAATTCAAAATTTACATAAACTCAAATTAATGCAACTTTGTATTTACTAATACTCGCGTTTTTTGTAGTGACTTTTAGTTCAAAGTGAACTAAAATTAAAATCAAGTTTATTTTAATGCCTTTTAGTACAGAGTTTAATAACTGAAGCGACTATTATATATACGCGACTTATTTATTCCTACAGAGTGTTTACTACGTAGACACTCTGTAGTTATAAGTAAAATTTCAGTAATTGAAAAAAAATATTTTCTTTTTTCAGTAACAAATCAAATGATCATGTTGTTCGAATTAGCGAATTTACAGTTGATCCCTTAAACCCAAATATGGCTGATCACAATTCAGAGCTAGTTCTTCTCGAAATAAACCAACCGGAAGATAATCATAATGGTGGTATGATGCTTTTTGGCGATGATGGTTATCTTTATATATCTGTTGGAGATGGAGGAGGAAGAGGTGATCAGCATGGAGAAATTGGAAATGGATTAAATATGTCATCTTTTTTAGGAAAACTACTGCGTATTGACGTTGACTCAGACAATTTTCTTTATTCTATACCTGAAGAAAATCCTTTCGTAAATAACAGTAATACTAAACCAGAAATATATGCGTTTGGTATTCGCAATAGCTGGCGTTGTTCTAAAGATCGTGAAACTTCACCACAGAAAAGTAAAAGCAGAGTTTTTCCTCAAAAGATATTTTGTGGAGATGTTGGTCAAAAACAAGTTGAAGAAATAAATTTAATTAATAAAGGAGGAAATTATGGGTGGCGTGCATTTGAAGGACACATTTGCTTTGATGAAAAACTTTGCTTTCAAAAACACGAAAACCTTAACTTCCCAATTTTATCTTACAATCACAGTACTGGTCAATCGATTGTAGGCGGTTACGTTTACCGTGGTTGCGAAAATCCTAGTTTATATGGAAAGTACTTATACGCTGATACAATGAATGGAAGAATGTTTTTAGCAGAAGAAAAAAAAGGTGTCTGGGAATCAAAATCAATTCTAATGGCTAATAAAAATTTATGTAACAACGGTTTACATCAAAATTATTATAAACATATTTTGTCTTTTGCTGAGAATGAAGCTGGGGAATTATTTATACTTGCGGTTAAGTATCCGCATCCTCTAAAATCGTTTGGAAAAATATACAAACTTGTTGATCCTTTAAAACGAGGAGATCCTGAAACGTGCATAAACAAACTCCAAAAACCAATCCCGTTAAACACCATAAACCGGAGAAAAATATATGAAAAACAAAAACAAAACACCCAATAAAAAGAAACCATTATCCAAACACGCATTACGTAATTTTATTAATCTGCCACGAAAAAGTATTAAAGCTTTTAAAAATAGTTTTATATTTTAGAGCTTTACTTGAATATGTATTATCGTAATATCGTAGCCCGTAAAAATAGTTTTATATTATATTTTAGAGTTTTAATTGAATATCGTAATATCGTAGCCCGTAAAAGTAACGAGTTAATAACGTAAAAATGACAAATTAAATCCAGTTTTATTAAAGTTTTTTAATTTTTATTTATTATTATTATTTCCTAACTTTCTAGCAATCTTGGATGCTTTAAATTTGACTGTTTTAAATAAGACTGTCCACGGCAATCACTTATGTTAAGTTCATGAGATTCAAGGACAAGAAATAATGCATCAGCTAAATCTTTGGCTTTATGTCCAGAGTTTGAATGAAAACATAAAAATCTTTCCACGGGTAATCCATCTTTGATATATCGAAATATAAAGAATATTTGGTCAACATGTCCTATGTCAGGTGTGGAATCTATACTAATTGAAAAACATTTACCTTTTTTGATTTCTTTTATTACTTGTTTTACAACTTGATCAGCCATTATTTTAATGAATTCTTCATATATTTAAAATGATAAATAGGAAATAGAACCTTTTCCTTTATTTCCATATTTTTGAATATGTTTGGCTAAAAATGGATCGAATTCAGAAAGAAGTTCCAGACACATCATGAAATTTTCTTATCACATGACTGTAGTCATGTGATAGGGACAAACGTACTCTATAAACAGTAGTCAGTACTTGCATAGTCACATAGTCTTCATTAACTTTGGAACTGATACAAATTTAAAGCATAGTATAGAATTAAAATTTAAAAACATTTCTTTTTCTCGCCGCCCCTAAAGTTTTGCCGCCCGGGCCCATGGCCTACCATGGCCTCCTCCTTAATACGTCACTGATTGTGATGTTCCAGCCGTTATGAATAGATTTGTTACTTGAAATTTTTAAATTTATTAGTTACTAGATTATTGAATATTATTGAAAAGACTCTAGTAGATTATTTTCAAGGTGAAAAAAATTATTAAAATTGAACCATTGTACAAAAAGTTATAAGGTATTTAATAACAAATTTTTTAAAGAAACTGTAGTCAAAATTAAGTTTTTCTTAATGTAAATTGTTATAATTTTGTCAATTCTTATCAAAACATCTGTAACTTGGTATCAAAAGAAATTTGTAAGAGTAAACTACAAATTTATAATAATTTTAGACAACAGAAAAAGCACAAAACCACCATCTATACCGTTAAAAAAATTATTCTTTCAAATAAAACAAGTTTATTTTAATGAAATTTGTAATTTTTACATCCAAGAAACTGTTATAGTTTGCTTCCAAACCACTACCAAATATGAGAGCTGTATTTTTGAGTGGATGGGTGATGGTTTAACACAGCCTATTATCAATAATAACTAATTAATATAAATATTTTTATCATATTTGAATATGAATATTTTTTGATATAAATATTTTTATCATATCAAATGAGTAAATCCAATATAAAAAACAAAAATTATTTTTCCCTTCTTTACAACATAATTAATGGTATATACGTTGATATAGGGTAAGGGGTGCCTCCCCTCCCCTCCCTTCCCAACCATTGATTAAAAACTTAAAACCCAAATGATTAAAAATTTAAATTTCAATAATGAGATTTAATAATAATCACTGTTAACGATAAATACGACGAGGTTAGAAAACTGCAAGTCACACTAGCAAATCTGCATGACGTGTCACTTTCTACTTTTGGTTCTGTAAATTTTCACATTATCTTGATTTTTTTTTGTTAATTAAACTAAAAACCTTAAAAAAAACATTTTTTTTTTGTTATTCACCTCCCCAAGGCCGAGAAGGCCACTACAGATGAGGAGGCCACTTGTGGTTATAACCCTCTCTCAACTCTATAACTCCGAAACACGAATCTTGACGAACAAAGCCGCTGCGCGGAGAAACAAGTTGAGAAACAAATTAAAAACTTTATTTAATCTAATTTAGTGGAAGAACTATTTTATGTTTCTAATATTTTGTATAAATATTTTAAAAAATTACAAAACTTTGGACTATACACTAAATTTCATGTGGACTATACACTAAATTTCATTTCAATTTTATATTAAATCTTCAAAAAACATCCATTCGATATTTCATGAAGATTTAATATAAAATTGTTATGATATAACTATTTATTATATATAAATACTTATATCATAATAATATCTAATCCCAGTAATCCCCCCCCCCCCAATCCCAATCATCCAATCCCCCCCCCCACCCACCCATGGAAGACTCTTCGGGACGGCTCTGAATTCATGTTAAGCATGACTAAAAAATAAAAAAAGTTAACATGTGCAGGCTAACCTGAAATGACTTGGTAATTTTTTACAAGCCACATCACTTGCGACATCTAATTTGCAAGTCACACCACTTGCAGGTACTTTTTTGCAAGTCACACCACTTGCTTTACCTATTTTGCAAGTAACACTACTTGCGTTACATTATTTGTATATATGCAAATAATAAACATTTATAAATCATTTAGCTTTATTTATATATAATAAATAGTTATATCATAAAACTAATATAGTAAAATTCATCATATTATTACAATATATCTAATATATACTTAAAACTACATAGTTAATTTATGAAAATATCAAGTCTCCTGATATAACATCACCTCCAAGTTATATCTTTTTCATGTCAACAACTTTTGAATCGGTTTCTAAAATTTTCAAGTAAAAAATAGTAAAAATGATGTCTTCTTTTCTTTTATTTACTTTTTCTACTCACCCATCATACATGACAGACTTGCTATAAACTGTATCAAACCATTCATGAGTTCGCTCCCAACAATTCTTTCAGACATTACGTCATTTAAGTCAGCAAGCTGCTTGTTAGGCATGTGCTTATTTAAATTCTTCATATCATTAAAAAATAGTACACGTAATTCTCGCTCCAGCTTTCTTTTTTCTTTTTCATTCATTTTTTGTCTTTTGGATTTTTTGTCTTTTTGAAATCTCTGCTCGTAATGCAGATTTTTTGTCAATTTTTTATTCTTTTTATACAAGCTGCATTAATAAACCACTTAAAAACATTTTTTCTGTATATTAGGTTAAGACTTTTATAAAAATCTTTTATAAAAATCTAACCTAAATAATATATTAATACATACTATTCGTTTTTAAATTTCTCTTGCACCCCCATCTCCCTCCAGCTGATGCCGGAAAAAATTCATTTAGGTACCAAAAGTGAGTGATAAAATAGGGAAAGTGTTGGTCAAAAGAAAAACCTGAAATTTAACAGATGCATAGAAAATGTATAAACTTAAGGTAAAGAATAGGATAGAAAAAAGAAAGATCATACCTTCAACATTTATTAAGCACACAAGACACAACATAGTTTTTGATATCAATAAAATATACTATAACGTTCATTAATATAATAAAAAACATCTCTTTAAAAAGTTTTGACTATTCTGCTTTTAAATTAACTCTAAAATTCTAAAAAATAAGACAACAGAACACCATTCTACTATACTGGACTAAATGTGAACTCTTAAAAACGTGGAACAGATTTTTAACTTAAAACTCGGTTCCGTAAAACGCATTTCGACATACCTATTATAAAAATATGTAACTTTAATATTTTATTTTTCTAAAATCAACATTAAAAAAAAAAATCTCTCGCATAAGTATTATTAATACTCAAATGTTAGAAAAAATTGCTCTATTTAGTTAATCAAACAAGAAATTAGAAACTCATTTTTATTTTAAACTAAATATTTGTAATCATAGAGATTATAACCAAAACGGTAAATAAAAATGCCAAAATAAAATTGCGAAAATAAAACTACAACAAAATAGATATGTGAATTGAAAAACAGTGAAATAACTGTTACCACTTACGGATATTTATATACAAACTAATATTGTAAAGTTTTGAAATGAATAGATCAATACCTTTTACTATAATTAATCTTAAACTAGACATATTTATTGAAAAACTCTTGTAAAAAACCCGGTTTGCATTTCAAAATTTTTTTATTAAATATAAGATCTAATAACATAAAGTAAAGATTTTCGATTTCTTCCTTCACAAGTTTCTATAAGTATATATTTTTGTAAATTTATGGTTAATTTAACTGTGTATAAATAAATATTTTAATGTTGCTATAGACGTTGCTAAGAACGCGGAGAATAAAAAAAATGTAAAAAATCTCAAATTGCAAACATCCATAATCACCTCTTGAAATAATGAAATTGGCTCCAAATTATTTTTGATTATTCTTAACGAGACTGTTAACTACAATTCTTTTTTTTTTTTTTTTTTTTTTTGTAATGGCAGCCCTAAAGTGACACGCTCGCCGGCCCTGATCATGATTATTAAATCAACAAAAACAATATGAATGAATATTATTATAATGATTGAAAAATTAATCATTATTTTATTTAAGTAATTTTATCTTTAATTTAAATATAACTAATATTAATAGTAATTAACTCATATATTATTGTTAATTATAACTGTACCGTTTATTCAGAAATTAAAACTGTACAACTTTTCATTATTCATATATTAAATTACAAATAAAATTAAGATAAAACAGACTAAACAACAAAAGTCTACAACTATTTGTCAGAAAAGTAAAAAATTTATTTACAATAAGACAGTAGAAAAACTAATTTTTCTACTGTCTTCTCGGACTTTTTTTTAGTCCATCTTTGTCAATAGATCCTGACAGTCATTTAGGAATTTGTTCAGCTGAATAGCTGTTGATGTAGGATAGCTTGTTCTTACTACATCTGCATAATAAAATGGAACATTAAGCAGATGGAAAGATTATAACACGAAACTTTATTATAGAATATTTATGATGATGATGATGATGATGATGATGATGATGATGATGATGATGATGATGATGATGATGATGGTGATGATAACGATGATGACGATGATGATGATGACGATGTTGATGATGACAACAATGATAAGAAAGTTTATATAAGATAAGTTATATATATCTTATATAAAACTAATTTTTCAAAATAATTTTATTTATAAGTTTGCCTACCATGTATCACACTTTTCACCCCAACTAGACAACTAAAC